TCAATATTTTGATTTTTTTGCACCCTCAGATTCCAGATTTTCAAATAGTTGTATCTCAGCCAAATATTGTCCTATATCCCATACATCAATGGAAAGCTAATTTATTCAGCTTTCAGATGATGTATAAATCTCAATTTTGAAAAAATACTGTTTTATATATATATATATAAAATAAGAAATAATATTAAAAAAATGTATATATATTCAAAATATAGAAAGATACCATTATTTTTATTTTATATTTTTATTTTTGGCCCTGTGCGTTAATTACCGTAATAATATAGTAAATTAATACACACACACACACACACACACACACACACACACACACACACACACACACACACACACATACATATATATACATATATATATATATATATATATATTACTAGCATCTTTATTTTTATGTGAAATTTCATAATTTCATAAACTACATAAACTGAAAAATCTAGATAAGCTAGTTGGCCTCACTAATCGAAAAGTTGGTTGTGGGATGACTGGTTGACCATCATGACCCATTCTTGCTGATGAGACAATTCAGAGTCAAAAAAATAACAACCCTTATGTATCTTACTGAAGTCTCTGTTTTCGGCAAGCATGAGGAAAGTTCATTTAATTACATATTTTAAGGGGTCTGACAGTTTAATTATGTATTTAGGGGTGCTGAAACGTCCAGCAGCAGCTATGATGAGTGCTGTTAGCCAGTGGTCAGTGTCTGTGTTTGTATAACTAACCCCGTGCGATGCGCAGGACCCTCATGATGCGTATGATGGTGGGGTTGATGGGCAAAGCAGCACTGATCTCGATCTCCTCCAACGTGATTCCCATGACTGACAGCAGCACTATAGCCAAATCCAGCTGGTTCCACCTGCACACATTCACAAGGGACAGATTTGCTCAGTTATGCAAAAATTCAACTTTCATGCACTCTGAATCCAACTTTTCCCTCTAGTTTTATTCCACTCTGGTCATTTATTCCTCCAGAGAGGTGGCTTTAAAGAAATTAACATTTGAAGCTCGGTCTGGTCAAACAGGCGGCTTGGGACCTGAATTGTTGCTGGGGACCACTTAATAACACACAATTAGGAAGAATTAAGGACCCACTCCAGCATAGGTGACCTCATTCGCTAATGCAGGACGAGGGATGGCTCGTTTTTACACTACAGCACAAATCACAGTCGCCCACATCTGCAGTGCTGGAACCAGCCACGGCACACCTGTCTGTGCACACACCTCTGCCATCCAGCTTGTAATTGTGACCTAGTTAAGAGGCACGGAAAGCTACAACAATAAATAATGGCTTGTTGAATGCTTTCTGGTGTCAGACCCAAATATGCGTGAATAAAAAAAGACAAAGTGCACTGCGGTCTGAGCCTGTTTTTTTTTTTTTACTCTTTTAAATGGGTCAATACCATATATTCTAATAAAGCTACAAAATGCCAGGATGTTTACACCCTGTGCTTGCTCAGTGCACCTTGATACATGTCACTATTAGTTTATGACAAGCCAGAGGAGCCGCTCTTGTAGGCAGCCTAATGATAAGTAGGAGTTCTATTAGGGAAACAAACACAGGAGATAGATTTCATTAAACCCTTGAGACAAATAACCACGTTCGCGCTCGCTCTTCACTGTAGTCTGTTGCACTTTTGTATTAACATCACACAGGGCTAATTTCATTTCCATCTGCGCCGTGAATGCAACAGCAGATGCAACGTTTTGCCAATAACACACCCTCCAGTGATTCTAGAGAACAAACTAAGGGGATTCGGTCAGGTGGAATCAACATCGAATGAATTAATTAAATCAATTAGCGATCGGAGGAGAGGAAACTTGAGGAGATGAAAGGTGAGAAGGAGAAACTCAATACCTGTCTTTGAAGAAACGTCGGAAGCCAAATGCAATGAGCTTCAGGACAGCCTCCAGCACAAAGGTGCTGGTGAAGAAATAATTACAGTACTTGAGTGTGATCTCCAGAGACTGGGGGGGAAGGAAACATACAGACGGAGAGGAAGCCAGAGAGACAGAGGAAGAGAACAAGAGAGGTGTGAATGATTAAAAGACTTTCGCCTCGGGTTCATAAAGTCAGCCAAACCAGTCATTTTTACATTAGCAATATAACAATATCAAGTATTCTGCGAATGTTCAGGTATAGCTTAATATATTGAGACAAGCTGCATGCATTCATCAGACTCTAAGTGTTTTTAGAGCAGTTTCTCAAATTCATGGACCCCCAGGGTGTCAAATCGCCAGAGGGACTGTGGGAAACTTCTAAATTGTGAACAAAAAGGTTTCACAGAAAACACGGATGCAAAGTGATATAAAGCCAAATCAGCAATGATGGCTGGAAGGATAAATGTGACCCTGGAGCACAAAACCAGTCTTAAGTCACTGGGGTATATTTGTAGCAATAGTCAAAAATATAGTGTATGGGTCAAAATTATTGATTTTTCTTTTATGCCAAAAATCATTAGGATGTTAAGTAAAGATCATGTTTCATGAAGATATTTAGTAAATTTCCTACTGTAAATACATCAAAACTTAATTTTTGATTAGTAATATGCATTGCTAAGGATCCATTCATCCATTCATTTGGACAACTTTAAAGGCGATTTTCTCAATATTTTGATTTGGTTACACCCTCAGATTCCAGATTTTCAAATAGTTGTATCTCTGCCAAATATTGCCCTATCCTAACAAATCATTCACTAATGGAAAGCTTATTTATTCAGCTTTCAGATGATGTATAAATCTCAATTAGGAAAAATTGACCCTTGTGACTATGGAAGCATATAGGTAGCTAAATTCAATTTAAAATGCAATATGCAAAATGGCAATGCAATATTCAAAATGGCAACGCAATATTCAAAATTGCATTGTATTTCTGTATTTAAATTTACATTTTCCATTACCCATATGTGCAAAGTTTGGAATGTAAATTTAAATACAGAAATACAATGCCATTTTGAATATTGCGTTGCCATTTTGAATATTGCATTGCCATTTTGCATATTGCATTTTAAATTGAATTTCGCTACCTATATGCTTCCATATATGACTGGTTTTGTGGTCCAGGGTCACAAATATATACATACAGTCATGTGAAAAAGAAAGGACACCCTATTGATTTGCATGGTTTTCCGTATCAGAACATAAAAAAAAATAATCTGGTCCTTAAAGGGGTCATATGATGTTGTTAAAAAGAACATTATTTTGTGTATTTGGTGACGGCGGCCTAGAGTGAGCGGAGGCCAGGGGCTAGAGTGAGCGGAGGACGGCTTGAGTGAGCGGTGGCCGGTGGGCTTGCGGCAACCACATGTGACGACCCCGGGCTGGACTCCACATCATCCACGGTGAAAGCCGATCCGGCGATCCACAGTGCTAAGTTGATGTATTTCCTCAGCGACCAGCACGGATCAGCTCCAGGCATGACGAAGCGGATATAGTCCTCTTTTGGAAGGCCAAACAAAGTAGTTTTGCTTTCACAACGAAACACAGCGTCACACACGGCGGCCTAGAGTGAGCGGAGGCCAGGGGCTAGAGTGAGCGGAGGACGGCTTGAGTGAGCGGTGGCCGGTGGGCTTGCGGCAACCACATGTGACGACCCCGGGCTGGACTCCACATCATCCACGGTGAAAGCCGATCCGGCGATCCACAGTGCTAAGTTGATGTATTTCCTCAGCGACCAGCACGGATCAGCTCCAGGCATGACGAAGCGGATATAGTCCTCTTTTGGAAGGCCAAACAAAGTAGTTTCGCTTTCTCAATGAAACACACAGAACACAAACACACAGCGTCTTCACGACATGGCGGCGGCGGCAACAACAATACTACAGCGAGAATAAAAGTTATGCCTTCTTTCTTTGCGTGAACATTTGGGCGTCGTTATGCAAATCTTCCCACATCGTGACGTAGATATGTGGGGGTGTGTTAGAACGAGCCGTTTTAGGTAGGCGTGGTTGACTCTTAACTTTTATAAAGAATATCTCTTTGGATTTGAGACTTTAGTCTTTGCAACTTTACAGACCTTCTTTATGCACCAAGAGCTTGTATTACTCCAAAGAGAAAGGACAATTTTTAATCACATCATATGACCCCTTTAAAACAACACATGAGATATCAAACCATGTCATTATTTATTTAACAAAATCAAGGCCAAAATGGAAAAGCCATGGGTGACAAACTAAGGACACCCTTACAGTTAACATAGGAAATAAGAGGGTAAATAATGGTCAGACACTACTATTTAAATACCTTTGATTAACTTATCATCAGCAAGTGTGAGCACCTCTAGAAAAGCAGCAGTTTAGGAGCCTTCAGGTGTGTGTTAATACAATGCCAAAGAGGAAAGACATCAGCAATGATCTTAGAGAAGCAATTGTTGCTGTCATCAATCTGGGAAGGGTAATATGGCCATTTGCAAACAATTTGAAGTCCATCATTCCACAGTGAAGAAGATTATTCACAAGTGGAAGACATTCAAGATCAATCTTCCCAGTAGTGGATTTCCCAGAAAATTCACCCCATGGTCAGACCATAAAACTCTCTGACAAATTGCAGACAACCCAAGAGCTACACCTCAGACTCTACAGGCCTCAGTTAACATGTGGAATGATAAGGTTTGTGACACTGCAATTAGAAAAGGACCAGACAAGTATGGCATGGGGTTGTCCAAAGTGGAGATGTTTGACCATAATGCACAGCGCCACATTTGGTGAAAGCCAAAAGAGCTTATCAGCACAAATACCTCATGCCAAAAGTCAAGCATGCTGGTGGATGGCTGATGATTTTGGGCTTGTTTTGTGGCCACAGGACCTGGGCACCTCACAGTCATGAACTTCTCTGTATACCAAAGTATTCCAGAGTCAAATGTGATAACATCCATCCGACTTAGCTTTAGCTTGGCCAAAATTGGGTCATGCAACAGGACAATGATCCAAGCACACCAGCAAATCTACAACAGAACGGCTGAAAAGAAAAGAATCAAGGTGTTGCAATAGCCCAGTCAAAGTCCAGACCACATCCTGACTGAAATGCTGTGGTGAGAGCTGTGCATAAACAAATGCCCAAACCTCAATAAACTGGATCAACGTTGTAAAGAAGAGTGGGACAAAAATCTTCCAGAACAATGTGAGAGACTGATAAAGTCATACAGAAAATGATTACTTCAAGTCATTGCTGCTAAAAGTGGATCTACAGGTAATTGAATCATAGGGTGTCCTTATAGTTTGTCACCCATGACTTTCCTTATTGGCTTTATTTTAGCTAAATAAATAATGAGACCGTATGATATGTCATGTGTTGTTCATCTGAGATTTTATTTCCCTGCTAAGGACAAGAAGATTTTTTTATTATGTCCTCATACAGTAATCCATGGAATTCAACAGGGTGTCCTTTCTTTTTCACATGACTGTATATATCTGAGACACACACACACACACACACACACACAACTGTTCAAAAGTTTGGGGTCAGTAAGAATTATTTTTATTAAAGATATTTCTACTTTAAATTAGCAAGGATGAATTGAATTGATCGAAAGTGACAGTAAAGACGTAAAATTTTTGATTAGATTTCAAATAAATATTGTTCTTTTGAACTATTCATCAAAGAATCCTAAAAAAAGTGTCAGTTTCCACAAAAAAATATTAAGCAGCATGGCTGTTTTCAGCACTGATAATAAGAAATGTTTTTGATCACCACACTGTAAAAAAAAAAAAACTCGTAAAAAAATGGTAAATGACTGGCAGTTACGGCTGCCAAACAAAAACCGTAAAATTAAAGTAAAATATCTTAATTGAAATAAAGTGCAAAAACAATCATTTTACAGAAATTTTCATTAAAGGTTTTACAGAAAAAAAGTTATTTTACAAATTTTTCCTTGTTTCAATTATAATATTTTACTTGAATTTTACGGTTTTTGTTTGGCAGCCATAGCTGCCAGTCATTTACCATTTTTTAATGGGACGTTTTTACAGTGCATGTTTCTTACCAACCCTTTTCTTAACGAATCTATACTATACAAAAGTCAAACTGACTTATTGTTGAGAGTTGGGACCTTGGTTCAAAAAAGTTTGAGAAACCCTGTTTTAGAGCATGAAGTCTACATTTTATCTTACATGAGGCTGGCTGTAGTGCTCCAGTGACATAGTCACAACGTTTACACAGATGATGAAGGTGATGAAGATGTCCAGGTAGTGACTGGTGCACAGGGTGTGGATCATCAGTCGCACGTGACTGTAACTGGCATAGTAGGGCAACTTCTGGGCCTCTGAGTGAAACAAACAGATCAGTTCATAATGAGCACCCTTTGACAACAAATATATAAAGCTGAAGTGTGTAAAGTCAACAAATAGAATTCAAACAGGTTTAATTAACACCACAATAACACTCAAACACATAGTCCCTTCCCCAAACTCAGTCCACTGGTTCAGCCAGTGTTGCTATGCTGTGAGGCTGGCAAACACTTCTTCACACAGGGCCATGTAGTTTTGGATTTTGTTTTCCCTTAATAATAAAAACCTTCATTCAAAAACTGCATGTTGTGTTTACTTGTGTTATCTTTGACTAATATTTAAATTTGTTTGATGATCTGAAACATTAAAGTGTGACAAACATGCAAAAAAAAAAAGAAATCAGGAAGGGGGCCAACACTTTTTCACACCACTGTACATAAAATGAGAGAATAGACAATAAATTATAAATAACAATAGTAATACAAATATACAGAAAAAGCAAAAATGTCCAGACAGAACTGTGAATGTGCATATGTGTTATTTACAGATGAAGGTTTAATGAGTTATTTACAGATGTGCAGTACTGAGGTGTTATGTGTTATTCAGGTGCGATATGGCCTGGGGGAAAAACTGTTCTTGTGTCTGGCTATTCTGGTGCACAGCGCTCAATAGCACCGGTCAGAGGGCAACAGTTCAAAGAGAGAGTGGGCTGGGTGTGAGGGGTCCAGAGTGATTTTCTTAGCCATTTTCCTCACTCTGGAGATGTAAAGTTCTTGGAGGTCTGGTAGAGGGGCACCAATAATCCACTCAGCAGTCCTGACTGTCCGTTGTAGTCTTCTGATGTCTGTTTTGGTAGCTGAACCAAACCAAACAGTTATAGATGAACACAGGGCAGACTCAATGATGGCCGAGTAGAACTGTTTCAGGACCTTTTTCACAATAGAGTCAATGTGATTGTCCCACTTCAGGTCCTGAGAGATGTGTTGCCCAGGAACCTGAATGAGTCCACTGCAGTCACAGTGCTGTTCATGATGGTGAGTGGGGAGAGTGCAGGGGGGTTCCACCTGAAGTCCACTATCATCTCCACAGTTTTGAGAGTGTTTAGCTCCAGGTTGTTAAGACTGTACCAGAGAGCCATCTGCTCAACCTCCTGTCTGTAAGCAGACTCGTCTCTGTCCTTGATGAGGCAGATGACTGTAGTGTCGTCTGTAAACTTCAGGAGCTTGACAGAGGGGTCCTTTGAAGTGCAGACATTCATGTACAGGGAGAAGAGCAGTTGGGAGAGAACACAAACCTGAGGGGCGCCAGTGCTGATGGTGATAGTCCTGGATGTGAGTTTGCCCAGCCTCACCAGCTGCTGCCTGTCTGCCAGGAAGCTGGTGATCCACTGACAGATGGAGGTGGGGACGGAGAGCTGGGTCAGTTTGTCTGAGAGAAGGTCAGGCATGATGGTATTGAAGGCCGAACTGAAGTCCACAAATAAGATCCTTGCGTAATTCCCAGTTTTGTCAAGGTGTTGCAGGATGTAATGCAGTCCCATGATGACTGCGTCATCCACAGACCTGTTTGCTCTGTAGGCAAACTGGAGAGGATCCAGCAAGGGTCCAGTGATGTCCTTAAGGTTGGCCAGGACCAGTCACTCAAATGTCTTCATGACCACAGACGTGAGAGTGACAGGTCTGTAGTCATTAAGTCCAGAGATTTGGGGGTTTTTGGGGCCGGAATGATGGTGGAGCGTTTGAAGCAGCAGGGAACTTCACTCAGCGCCAGTGATTTGTTGAAGATCTGTGTGAAGACGGGGGCCAGTTGGTCAGCACAGACTTCAAGACAGGCAGGTGAAACACCATCTGGACCTGAAGCTTTCTTAGATTTCTGCTTCCTGAAGACCCAGTTCACATCCTCTACATAGACCTTAAGCTCAGGTTAAATAGTGGGGGAGGGGGG